GTCTGTCCCCCTGTCTGTCCCCCCGTCTGTGCCCCCGTCTGTGCCCCTGTCTGTGCCCCCGTCTGTGCCCCTGTCTGTGCCCCTGTCTGTCCCTCAGCGCCCAGCAGAAGAGCAGTCAGATGAGTAAGAAGAAGGCGGCAGGAAACCAGGTGGGTGTGGTCATGTGACCTGATGGTGTGGTCATGTGACCTGATAGAGGAGAAGCCACTTTGTGTTTTTTCGTCTCTCCGTCTCACCATCTCTCTCTCTCCCTCTCTCCCTCTCTCTCTCTCTCTCTCTCTCTGTGTCCGCTTCTGTTGCCGTGGCAACCAGGATGAGATCATGGTGAGTTCCTCACACAGCGTGTGACTGACTAGCAACGACCAATCACAACGCAGTAGTGTGACCTTTGAGGCTCAAGTGTTTCCTCCATAGTTACTGCTGATTATCACTGATGATGTCATCACCCACCACCTGTGTGTGTGTGTGTGTGTGTGTGTGTGTGTGTGTGTGTGTGTGTGTGTGTGTGCGCGCGTGCACAGGTGATCCGTAAAGGCTGGCTGACCATCAACAATATCAGCATCATGAAGGGCGGAGCTAAAGAGTACTGGTTTGTCCTGACAGCTGAGACGCTGTGCTGGTACAAAGATGATGAGGTAAAACACACACACACACACACACACACACACACACAGTCAAAGTATTCAGAGTATAAACAGTGTGTAGGTGTGGGTCACTCTGTTGAGGTGTTAGTGTTAAACAGTGTTATTATTAGTATTACTGACGTTGTTGTTGTTGTTGTTGTTGTGATGTCACAGGAGAAGGAGAAGAAGTACATGCTCCCTGTGGACAACCTGAAACTCAAAGACATCGAGAAAAGCTTCATGTCCAGCAAACACATCTTCGCCCTGTTCAACACCGAGCACAGGTGTGTGTGTGTGTGTGTGTGTGTGTGTCACTGAGTTTGTGTGTGTGTGTTGATGTGTGTGTCGGTGTGTGTCGGTGTGTGTTTGAGTGTGTATGCATTGGTGCAACCTGTATGCAAGGACATTTTACTGATCTTTGTATTGACCTTATGAGGACATTACTGATTGTGAGGACAGTGATGTCGTCGCAGGTCAAATACAGTAAAAGCACTGATCAAGTCAAGAAGCGTCCATGTTTTCAGACATGGATGAAAACTGTGAGAGATACCTGACTGGTGGGCGGAGTCATACAACCACAGGGCAGTTATTGTATTTTGATGATGTCAGAGCAGTCACCTGATCAATGATCTGACCGTTGATTAGATTGATTTGTTCCTGTAACATTATAATACTCCTGTAATATTATAATACTACTGTAACATTATAATATTACTGTAACATTATAATGTTCCTGTAATAATATAATACTACTGTAATATTATAATACTACTGTAACATTATAATGTTCTTGTAATATTATACTACTGTAACATTATAATGTTCCTGTAATAATATAATACTACTGTAACATTATAATGTTCCTGTAATATTATAATACTACTGTAATATTTTAATGTTCCTGTATCAGTATTTTACTGTTTTCTTTGTGTTCTGAGCGTCTGTTGAAAGTATAAATACACACAGTGACACTGCTGAGGACGTGCTCGCTGTGTTTGAATAAACTTTATCAGAATTATCAGAAGACAAACAGACCAGGGGTCAGTGTGAATGTTCGTGTCATGGTCACTCAGATGATGCGTTCAGTGTTACCGTGACAGGGCCTGTTCCACTAAAACATGCTGCACAAGAAGAATAAAACCACAGTATGAGTACGAACATGTCCAGTATGATGACATCACCCTGTAGTAAGATGAGACTGCACCTGTTTCAGGAACGTGTACAAAGATTACCGTCAGCTTGAGTTGGCCAGTGAGTCTCAGGAGGAGGTGGACAGCTGGAAGGCTTCTTTCCTACGAGCTGGAGTGTACCCTGAACGCAGCGTGGTAGGACTCACTATTACTGCAGTGATGTAACTTGTTGGTACACTATTATAACACATTAATGTTGTTGTTGTTATTGTTGTTGACAGAAGTATTGACATGTTGTTGTTTTTGTTTGTTCCTTCTGCAGGATAAAGAGAAGGTGAGTTCATGTCTCTGACACGTGTTTCTGTTATTGTGTCTACTGATGTCACAGAGGGTCCACAGGTGTGTGTGTGTGTGTGTGCAGGTGGAGGCGGAGGAGTCAAGTGGAGACGGGCAGATCCACAGTCTGGACCCTCAGCTGGAGCGACAGGTGGAGATCGTCAGGAACCTGGTGGACTCGTACCTGTCCATCATCCACCGCACCGTCAGAGACCTGATCCCCAAGACCATCATGCACCTGATGGTCAACAACGTATGACACATACACACACACACACACATACAGACCTCCTCCCTCTTTCCACGACCACATGCTTCCTGCAGTCACTCAGTGTTTCCACTCCCTCCACCTCCCTCCCTCCACCTTGGACGGACTGATGGACTGAGGTACCTGCAGCCACCGACAGGAGGTGCTGCCTGCTCTCCTCCCGTAGGTGGTCTGTGGCGGCGAGTGAGGCGGAGGACACACTGTGATTCAAGGCTGTAGCTAACGTTAGCTACATAAACATGAAGCTGTGACCTGTTAGCTCCTGTTAGCATAAGGCTAACCTATGTTCTGATATCAACACAGGAAGTGATGTAATGAGTCATGTGACCTCCCCTCTGCTCCTCAGACTAAAGAGTTCATCCATGCAGACCTGCTGGCTCAGCTGTACTCCTGTGGAGACCAGAACAGCCTGATGGAGGAGTCCCAGGAACAGGTGAGACACACTGAGGACATAGACAGAGACAGACAGTATCTGTTAGGTGTAGTGTGCTGAAAAAAAGTTTGATTGAATGCTTGTTGTCTCTCTGTCTCTGTCTCTGTCTCTGTCTCTCTCTGCCTCTGTCTCTGTCTCTCTGTCTCTGTCTCTGTCTCTGTCTCTGTCTGTCTGTCTCTCTGCCTCTGTCTCTGTCTCTCTGTCTCTGTCTCTGTCTGTCTGTCTGTCTGTCTGTCTCTCTCTGTCTCTGTCTCTGTCTCTGTATCCCTCTGTCGCTGTCTCTCTCTGTCTCTGTCTGTCTGTCTGTCTGTCTGTCTCTGTCTCTGTCTGTCTGTCTGTCTGTCTGTCTCTCTCTGTCTCTGTCTCTGTCTGTCTGTCTGTCTGTCTCTGTCTCTGTCTCTGTCTCTGTCCCTGTCCCTCAGGCTCAGCACCGTGAGGAGATGTTGAGGATGTACCACGCCCTGCGTGAAGGACTTCACATCATCGGTGACATCAGCACTTCCACCATCACCACGGCGATGCCACCGCCTGTCGACGACTCCTGGCTGCAGGTGACTGGGATGCCGTCTGGACGCAGGTAACCTAGCAACAGGTCATCTGTCCCTCAGACTCAGGATGTGTGTGAGCTCTGAGTCACGCTGCTGGTCTCTGCAGGTCCCCCATGTCCAGCCCCACCCCCCAGCGTCGGGCCCCTCCTGGACCTCCTCGTCCAGGCGGCCGGGCGGCCCCCGGCCCTCCGTCCCGCCCCGCGGTGTCACCTGACCCCGGACCCCCCTCCATCCCCTCCCGACCCAACAGAGCGCCTCCGCCTGGAGTCCCCAGGTAGGTGAGGTCAAAGGTCAGACTGACAGGAGACCAGCAGCTGACTGGGTCTGTCCCAGTCTGTCTCTGGTCCCTGTGTGGTGTGTTCAAAGACTGTCAGGAGATGTGAGTGGTCAGGTGTGTTGATGTGCAGGGAGACGATCAGTGATTCACACACAGTATAAATACACACAGTACACACACTAAGCTCAGGGGACACTGTGATGTCATCATATCTGACACTGTGATGTCATCATATCTGACACTGTGGTGAGACAACTGTCAGTCCATGTGTGTCTCATCATATCAAGACTTTATTATTCGAACATTCGACCGAGTCTCTTCTGAACGACTCGCCAGCAGGTTCAAAACAAATCCCCCAGGTTACACTGTGACATCACAAGGTATTATTGGATTCTCACATTTCCAGCAGCTCTGGAACGCATCATGAGATGAACGATGTTTAAAGGAAACAAACAGAGTAGAGGACAGAGAGACAGAGGACAGAGAGACAGAGGACAGAGGGACAGCAGGACAGAGGGACAGAGAGACAGAGGACAGAGAGGCAGAGGGACAGAGAGACAGAGGACAGAGAGACAGCGAGACAGAGGACAGAGAGACAGCGAGACAGAGGACAGAGAGACAGAGGACAGAGAGACAGAGAGACAGAGGACTGTGCCATTAAACAGTCCAACAGCAGTGTTTCGTTGATCAAAAGTTTTCATCAACAACTTTTTTTGATGATGAAAACAAGATGATGACGAGCTAAAAATAGATCTTGATAATAAAAAACTATGTCGAAGTCTATGTTTTCTTGGACGACTGTCCACTGTCCTCTGTGGCAGTCGTCCTACAGGCAGAGGACTGTCCTCTGTGGACAGACCTAATGGATCATCTGCAGTAATTATTAGAGTTACATTGATTCCAGTGAAATAACAACATGTGTTTATTTATTTTACTGATAGTGATAGTAACCTTTTGTTGTTGTTGTTGTTGTTGTTGTGGTGTCGTCCTGTCTCTGTTTATTGCTCTGATCAGCAGTAGTGTTCGTTGTAAACTCTTCAGTGAAGATTATGTTTTTGTGTTTATATTCAAACTGTTTTAATAATGAGCCTGAAGTGTAAACTGTTATTCCCCACACTCTAATGGGACTTGAATGTATCATGAATGTGTTTCCTGGGCCCTATTTCAGGAAGCAGGCTCAACAAACTCTGAGCCTGCTTCCTGATCTCTGGGTTGACTGAGCCTGAACTGAGAAACAGAACAGCTGATCAGCATCAGTTCAGTCAACTCTGAGTCTGTTCAGCCTGAGAGAGGTGCGTTCACGGCGAGCACCAACAGACATCATCAGTAGAGTGCAGATAACATGATATTCAGTGGCCGAAAGCAGAAAGCTGCTTGTTTCATCCCAGTCAGAGATTTTAATGACCGCGAAATGAAAAAAAATAAATACAGAATATATAATAATATAATATACAGAAAAAACAGAAACATGTTTCTATCTTAACAGTGTTCATATATTTGAATATAAGTTATTCAGCTGTAATGTGATGGAGCCCAAACACACTGGGCACAAACTCAACATCAAACACACAGATATTAAACGGACTGGTAAAAGTTTTGTTTCTACTGACTTCATTCTGTCAATATTAGGCTGAGGTTCATTTAACTGCTGTGAAATGACTTCATGTAATCTCCTTTATTCTCACATGGAGCTATTATGGGATGTTGAGTCCCATCAATGAGCCAGTTACACCGCGGAGTCTTTGAATATATGAAAAGTATTCATGAATCACTGCATCATGTGTCCACGTAGATTCATTTCTCATCAACACTGACAAACCTGCAGTTCTTTTTTTAAACATTATTTTTGGGCTTTTGTTGCCTTTAATGTCAGGACAGCATAACGTTATGGGGAGAGAGGGAACGACATGTAGCACAGGACAGCAGGCTGGGTTTGAACCCGCGGCCGCTGCGTCTGATCACGGGGCGTCCGCTCCATCCACTGAGCCACCGATGCTCCGTGGTAATTACTTTAATAATGGATTGTGATTTATGTCCAGGGAAAACCACAACAAGGGTCCAAAGTCTTTTCAGAGCCAGAGACACTTTTCTTACGGGCCGACAAACCGCTGTCTCTCTGATGTGTTCAGTGTCTCTGATGTTATAAAGAAAAGAATCAAAGGACAATGCATAAAATGTGCTGTGATGATAATGTAAATCCAGGATGTGTAATATGTGATATATGTGGGTGGAACAGATTGTTAGATAAATGATAGAGTGTGAGGTCAAACAGTATCTTTCATATAGACACTCCTCCAGGGAGACATCCAAACAGGCTCTAATCACCTTCTCCTTACACAACAGCCTCTGAATACACTGGGCCTCAACCTCCACCACTTCATTCACTAAAGGACACGCCATGTTTCTACTTCCTGCTACACGCTTACACTGAGCTGGCTTTGTGAAACGGAAAAAAACTCAGAGTTTCATCTCAGGCTGAACAAACTCAGAGTTTCACTGCTCCTGCTCTCTGAGACAGGGCCCAAGGCCCCTGTATGTTAAATTCAGCTCCCCCGACTTCCTTCTAAAAGCCAGACTGATTGAAAATAACGTGTATCAGATGTGTGATGAGGTGACACCTGGGAGCTGGACACAGAGATGATCTGACACACTACCCATGTTATGATCAGAGTTTCTTCTTCGTTGGTGCTGTAGACTGAAAACAGAGATCAACAAACATCCTGCACAGACAGTGAAAAGAAAGAGACCTCTTCTTTCTTTCTTTCTTTCTTTCTTCTTCTCTTCTTCTCCTCATCCTCACACTTTACTCCTCTATCACTCATTTATCACTCCTCCATCTGTAAACACAAAACATCCAGTTGACATTTAAGGATCAGCCTAGCTCAGCACAACGACTGTAGGCAGAGGGAAACTGTTAGCCTAGCTTAGCACAACGACTGGAGGCAGAGGGAAACTGTTAGCCTAGCTTAGCACAAAGACTGGAGGCAGAGGGAAACTGTTAGCCTAGCTTAGCACAAAGACTGGAGGCAGAGGGAAACTGTTAGCCTAGCTTAGCACAAAGACTGGAGGCAGAGGGAAACTGTTAGCCTAGCTTAGCACAAAGACTGGAGGCAGAGGGAAACTGTTAGCCTAGCTTAGCACAAAGACTGGAGGCAGAGGGAAACTGTTAGCCTAGCTTAGCACAAAGACTGGAGGCAGAGGGAAACTGTTAGCCTAGCTTAGCACAAAGACTGGAGGCAGAGGGAAACTGTTAGCCTAGCTTAGCACAAAGACTGGAGGCAGAGGGAAACTGTTAGCCTAGCTTAGCACAAAGACTGGAGGCAGAGGGAAACTGTTAGCCTAGCTTAGCACAAAGACTGGAGGCAGAGGGAAACTGTTAGCCTAGCTTAGCACAAAGACTGGAGGCAGAGGGAAACTGTTAGCCTAGCTTAGCACAAAGACTGGAGGCAGAGGGAAACTGTTAGCCTAGCTTAGCACAAAGACTGGAGGCAGAGGGAAACTGTTAGCCTAGCTTAGCACAAAGACTGGAGGCAGAGGGAAACTGTTAGCCTAGCTTAGCACAAAGACTGGAGGCAGAGGGAAACTGTTAGCCTAGCTTAGCACAAAGACTGGAGGCAGAGGGAAACTGTTAGCCTAGCTTAGCACAAAGACTGGAGGCAGAGGGAAACTGTTAGCCT